GCTAGTCTAATTACACTAAAATCTTAGAGGGGGTTAAACTTGAAAACTTTGGCCCCCAAGTAGTACTCCACCTAGAATGCCAAAACACACGGCCCGGGCCGCTTCAAGCCTCCGCGTCCCAGAAAATACGCTACTTTGAGTCCTGAGACTGCCGTCTATCGAACAACTGACAAGTCCGTACCCACACACGTACCCATTTGATTTGACCAGGTGACTAGATCAGCGTCGATAGGGCTACAGTCTCGATAGTACGCGCATATGAAAGCAAACGAGTGTGTCCGCTTCCGCGGGCGTATCTGCGGGGGGATATTCCTCCACGTACTGTTACTACTCGCTAAGACTCTCCTGCATGTTCCTCCACTTACTGTTGCCACTCGCCAAGACTCTCCTGCCAGCCGAGCCAGGCAATATCAACAACGCGGCGTGCACCATGTCGCAATGCAGGACTGGGTAGCACAGATTGCAACAGTACTAAACCGGCATGGTGGCAGCCGAGGCTTGCGGCTGAAAAAGGCAAAGCACACTTGCTGGTAAGCAGGTCCCGGCGGGATTCGATGCCACTTCTAGGCCGAGGGCCGCCCTGCCTCTTTCGGCCTACCGCCGCCTTGCCTCTTTCGGCCAAACTCCGACCTGGGCGTTCGCGCGGAAGAGGCCGAATGCGGTCCGGGCCGGTGCAACCCAGCGCTTGTATATCGAATCACAAATGGTCGGTGAGGCAGGCAGATGGACACGGTACAGAGATTCTTATGCTATTGACCCCCAAGTACAGGTCCTCTAATGCTGAACTCGTCAAGACGCGGCCTTGCTCGGTGCTGGACCTTCTCAATCCTGTGATCGCAGTCCACGGTGTTTTGTGCCCGCGATCCGGGTTGAACCTCACCGAGCACATCTCAGGCTCACCGCGAGTGCGCCATGTCGACAACCACCATGAATCGCTCCACGACAAGGGCGGCCCTCGTGCCGGATCTCGAATCCCACCAAGCCTTGTCCGGCTTCGTTCGCGTGGCTCTGGCCTTGCTGGTCCTCACCTTTGTGGGCCAATGGGCCGTAGAGTACACGCGGCTGCGGCTCAAGATGCGCAGGAACGGCATCCCGTCCATCAACAGCGCCGTTGGCATCTTCGACCAGGTCATCCGCCCGCTCTACCCGCACATCCCGTACCTGTCGCCCATGCGCCAGCTCGCCTTTGACCGGCCCTTCCGCAAGTACGAGAACGCGCGCTCCGACCTCATCGCGCTCGGCCAGGCGTCGACGCCGAGCCGCCTCGTCTACGCCACCGGCTCGCCCGCCACGGTCCGCGCCATCGCCGCCGCCACCGACGTCTTCCACAAGCCCACCGGCTCGCCCCGCTACCGCGTCGGCAACGTCTTTGGCCTGCAGCTCATCTCGGCCCAGAACGGCGCCGAGCACGAGCGCCACCGCCGCGTCGTCCGCGTCTGCTTCAGCGAGGGCTTCATGCAGCACGGCTGGGACTCTATGGCGCACATGTGGCGCGTCATGCTGCGCGAGGAGGGGCTCGAGACCGAGCAGGCCGGCGACACCCGCGTCCTCCACGACCCGGGCGAGATCCTCGTCAAGATGACCCTGAGCGTCGTCGGGGCCTCGTGGTTCGCTGTCGACATCCCCTGGCGGGAGCCCGCGCAGGAGACAGGGCCCATCATGCCCTTCGCCGACGCCCTCCACATCTTCTCCGGGACCGTGCCGGCGCAGCTGCTGCTGCCGCGCTGGTTCATGGACTACAACCCGTTCCCGTACATGCGGCGCCTCGGCAAGGCGCAGAGGTCCCTCGTCCACCACATCAAGGCTGAAAAGGCCACCGCCGAGCAAAAGCACAAGGCGCGGCTCGCGTCCGGCGCTCCACAGGAGGAGAAAAAGTACACAGACCTCTTTGGGGCGCTGGTGGCCGCCAAGATCGACCAGGAGACGGGTACCAAGGACCAGCCGCCCCAGGAGGGACTCTCGGACAGCGAGATCGTGGGCAACATCTTCAGCTTCGTCATGTGAGTGCACCTACTTTGGGCCTGCTTGAAACACTTTGGCCGACTGATCTGACGCCTTTCCTCCCAGGGCGGGCCACGAGTCCACGGCGCACACGCTGGCCTTTGCCCTCGCGCTCCTCGGCCCTCGGCCCGACCTGCAGGAGCAGATGCACGCCGAGGTGCAGAGGGCGCTCCTACTCCCGGCCGAGGGCAGAGACGGCAGCAGCCCGGGCCGGCTCGTGTACAAGGACATGTCGAGGCTGCCGCTGCTGCTCGCGACCGCGTACGAGGCGCTGCGCATGAAGGACATCGCGATGCACTTCAGCCGCATCGCGACGCGGGACACGACGCTGCCGTACACGACCTGGGAGGACGACAAGAACGGCAGGCCGGTGCCGCGCGAGCGCCTGGCGCACATCGCGGCCGGCGCTTGGGTGCACATGGACCTGGCGGCGTGCGGCCTCAACCCATTCGTGTGGCCCGAGCCCGAGTCGTTCGACCCGTCGCGCCACCTGCGCGAGACCGAGGTCGTCGGCGCCGACGGCAGGCCCGAGAAGAAGGTGTCGGTCTCGTTCGAGAACCAGGTCGGCTTCATGCTCGGCGCGCGCCAGTGCATCGGCAAGCGCTTCGCCGAGGTCGAGATGGTCTCGTTCCTCGCCCACACCGTCCTGCACTACCGCTGGGAGGTGGTCAAGAGACCCGGGGAGACGCAGGCGCAGGCAGACAAGCGGGCCAGCACCGGCCGCGAATGGCTGACCTTTACGCCGCCGAATTTCGATCTGCGATTAATCAGGCGCTAAGATAGGCTGTAAATTCACGGTAGCAAGCAAAGACGTCGTTGACAATTGAGAATCTTGATCACCCAAACAGTGAATTTGTGTAAACAACTAGATATTGCTGTCAATGCTTATATTTGCATGATTTTCAACCTGCGACAAAGAATTTAACAGACCAAAAGCGCCGCTGGGATTGCCCATCTTGGACCCAGCCGCCAGTACAGGAACCTCTTTTAAAGCAATCTAGGCTAGACTACAAGCCAAAAGGGAATAGGAAAAGGCTAAAGGGACGAGGGAAAGGAAAAGGGGAAGCGCTTTTCATATAGACTTGCTACCGCCGGGGCTGGGAAACCAAAGCTAGGCTGAAACTAGGCTTGAAACTGGGCTTGGACCTCACCGAGGACCAAATCGCCACCCTGGCTTCCGAAGATGAGGAATCCATCACGGAGCGCGCGCGTAACAAGCAACTCCTCTCAGCTCTCCAGGCGAGCCTGTCGGACCTGAAGCGGCTGGAAATAATCCGGGAAAATACGAAAAACTCGCAGCAACATCGCCACCCGGGTTCGTTCTACCTACAGAGAAGCATTCGTTCCTCTCAATATCCATAACTATCATACTTGTATTGGAGCTAAGACTCGTCTAACGATCCCTTGCTCTTTAGGTCCGGCGTCCAGATCAAGCTCCGCATCGAGCACCAAGTCAAGTCCCGAAGAGCGCTCGGAATCCTCGCCGCCGCGGTCAGAGCCGAATGCAGGCGAAGAGATGAGTCCACGTCAGCCAATCATTGAATGGGGCCCAGTCCCCGTCCCCGTCCCCGTCCCTGCGCCTCAGCAGGAGGACGAATGGGGGTTCGATTAGAGCTCAAGCTTCCTGGCCGCGATTGGTGACGGCCACTAGTTACGGCCACTGGCCTGTGTAATTACAATCACTATGGCTACGCTTGTTTTCTTTGTTGTACAAATAGCGGAATTCGTAGTGCGTCTTCCAAATTCAAAGCCAACGTACTTCTTCCACTACCAGCTGAAAGGCTATGGACACAGCTCATCTACACAGTCTATCCAGGCCTGGAAGCCAGGCTTTGTACATACATGCAGATTTGGTGGTCCTCGTGATCCTACAGATGTTTTGGAACCGCATCTATTTCTTGATAGAGCTCGCTGCCTGCAACGCTCCTACAACTGTCAAGGATATAAGAGGAGTTATGGCATACGATATCTAGATATTGTAGGTTAGCCTGGGAAAAACGCTTGTGACCCTCGGTATATTCATACAGTGAGAAATTTGGCAATGGACATTCTAGTTTTCTCATCCAAATTCGTGATATCTGCCAAAGCAAGTAGCTTCATCGCAGAAGGCCCAGTAGGCATGAGCATCATTGTGAACCATAACATAGGGTCGGACGAGAGTATGTTGGTGCGGCTTGCAAGAGCCCAGATAACAGAAATGCTAATGCTGAGCTCACAGTTAGTGATAACTCCGAAAGGAATTGTGAGGGATCGTACGCTGGCCATAGGAAGAATCGCACGCCTACAACGAAGAAGAACGTTCCCAGAGGAACATGACCTGACTGCTCGCCTTCTTTCATCTTACGGAGGCTGAGGCTTAGCTTAGCACCTACGACCAACACTTGTAGAGTCACGAACAGCTTTCCAACGTTCTCGAGTGTGGTCGTGAGCCAAGCGTTAAGGTAACCGCCATCGGTCGATTCATTGAAGAAAAGGCGCGAAAGAGGTGGACTCAGGCCGATGATTGCGCCGATAAGGGCGCCAATGAATGGAGCATTCAGAAAAGGCGCCATAGCCTTGACCGTCCTCTGAAGCAGCGATGGCAACGAGTTATACATCCTGTCCAAAGCATCACCGACAGTCTCAGTAGTCTTTCTCTTCCACTGAATGGCTTTCTTGGGTAATAGAGAGGTCGTTTCGGTCGAAGTCTCCTCGTTATCATCACTATCCTGGTCATCGCTTCCCTCATCTGGGCCAGTGCCGAGCCTAGAGTCGCTTCCATAATGATGTGGCGTTTCGGCATGCAATTGTCGCTGGTTACTGCCCTCATTTTCGTGGGATGTTTGACTTTCTTCATCATCGTGGCGAGACTCTTGTAATCCATTTGCTACACCATTACCAATCCTTTGGTCGATGGCTTTTCTGAGCCTCTCTAAACGCTCCAGGGACGGTGCATCTTCCTTGATGCCTCGGAGAACATCTGGTCCCTTGCCGAAGGTGAGTGTATTCGAAACCACGGCGCAGACAAGAAAGTATGACTTTGCTCGATCAAGCGCGTCATCATCGGTACCAAGAAGCCGAGAGAGTACGCCGGTCACCTCAAGAGACTGCAATAGGAGGAGAGGAAGCGAGGTAGTGTTGTTGAAAGCAACAGCTGGTACGGTCCATTCGGGGAGCTTGAAGAGGATGACTGCAACCCGGCCAAGCCATAAGGTAGAGATGTTATAGAAAAGAGACCAGACTGCCAGACATTAGTATATTGTCGGACCCAGTTGCATTAAGCGCCAGGGAAGTGATGGTCACCAAGGATGGGCACGTAGTTCCAGGCCATGTCTAGATGAAGTTCGGAGCCAAGATTGACGATCAGCAGGCACGGCAGGAAGATCTCGACGCACATCCGGGAGATGCGCTTTGCCGCCTCGGCCGTGAGGAGGTCGTACTGGGTGCCGATTACCCCAACAAAGATCGTCAGCAGGACCGAGACGGAAGCCTGGATGGCCCCGAGGAACGACACCAAAATGTCCGATGCCATCTTTTGAGATGCTTGGGGGGCCCAAACACTCGGCTCTGACAGTCAACTAGCGACAATTGACAATTGAAAGAATCACTCGACCGTACAGGCCAACGAAGGGAGAATCCAGGAGAGACATTTGGGAGCTCAACCTCCGGGCGTGACGTCACTACAGATCCGGCGTAGCAGCATTTGGGCGCTGTACCTTGCGCTAAAGCAAGTCTCAGATGTCGCTAAAAAGATAAGCTCCAGACTCTTCACAGATGCGGCAAGGGCACACGAGATGAAGGGCACATACTCGATTGAGGTTGCAATAAATATTATCGTCATGGGTATCATTTCATTCATCGTTAAGAGGCAATGGCTGTCTTGCCCTGTGACGCCTCTTTCGGCTATTAAATAATAATGTCATGCTGAAGACACTTTTTGACTCTTCAGTATTACCAACGGCCGCAGCTCAAGCCCCCACGCCCGTCCGTCCAGTCTCAAGGCCCTTGCGATAAGCCCCGCGTGCTCGGTCGAAAGTCCTCGACTCGTTCGACGCGTCTTATCCGTCCTCTCGAGGCCGACCGGTCCCGTTCGTCCTTCATCATCGGCGCTATCGGCCGTCCAAAGCGCTGAGGGGGCCCAATTGGAGGGCTGCGTTCTGGAGCGATGTAGACTGGGGGCACAGGTGATGGCTCCCGCGACGAGAAGCTTGAGCCGATACTGATCTTGGGGGTTGGTGATTCGGCTTCGAGCTCTGATGTTGTGAAGAGAGGCGCCTCAAGTTCCGAAGGAATTGGCCCAGCTAGCTCCGCTGGTATTGTTTTTGCGGTGTTGCCATGGATGGCCCTTTGATCTTGGAGCTGAGGACTGCCTTGTTGTTGTTGTTGTTGTTGTAGTTGTTCATTGTCCGTCGATGATGGGAAGCGCTCATGCTTCGGAGAGCGAAATTCAGTGTCTTTGAAGTACGGTGACCCAGGATGTCTCTTCCCTCCCCATGTCAATCCACTGCTACATGATCCTATGCGGGTGTTAGCTGCTATGCTGGTAGCTTCCCGGTAAAGCGCGCGTTACTATAGCTTACCTGAGTATGGGCTCGACACGGTAGCCATGTCGCCCGTCTCTCCATCGTACCCTGACATTAGAGGCCAATCTGCCTTTCTTTCTCTTCTCCATTTCGCGTTGAATCCGCAACGATACATCAACGCACCCACGACCATAATCAACACAACGGCAGCCCCGGCTACTATGCCGCCGATCGCCCCGGCAGACAAGCCGCCGTTGTGCGTCACCTGTACCTGACTCTCTGCTGTCGCCGTGGAACTAGCAGACGAGCCAGTGACCGTCGGCGACAAGAATAGCTGTCTCAAGCCCGTATCCCCGCTCAACTTCGCTGGCACGAGGTCTTCCTTGGGACATGACCCCTCAGCACACGGATTCGTATTACAACAGCCAACAAACGGCGGCTGGTTGAATTTGCATGTGTACCAGATGTTGAAACTCCGAGAGTCGTCACAATCCTGTCTTGGGAGATCTTCGTAGCTGTCTGCGGAGAAGGATGATGTTCGCAGGTCTTCAGCTGGGCATTTGCCGGAGCCATCTGCGCACGGATTTGTCGTGCAACAGCCTATGAACTCTGTCGCATTGCCCTGGCAGATATAGAAGTTGCCCCCGCTAGGACAGCTCAGGCCGAAAGCCTCGTAGGGCTTGGAATTGGCAGACATTTTGGATTTTCTGGTGGTTGAGTCTTGATTGCAATGCAACTGATGTTGCTCCGTTTTGACTATGATTACTTCATGTGCCAGACGAAACGATCATGCAAGCTTCGAGAACGTCAGCAAAGAGATCTAGAACACATCGGAAGGAACGCGGGCATTATTATCTGCCACGAATTGTTTCTCATCCAGGCTGGAGGGTTTGTTTCCCGGAACCCCACAACATCGCCGGTAGGGCTGATGGTGTGCTGCGACCCGTAAGCAGCCACCCCAGAGGCGAACAGCTGGACGCTGGGAAAACGAGGTCGAGCTGCAGGTATTGGCTTG